GGAGGAGGCGGGACCGGCCTGCGGCGCGGGGGTAGGTGGGGACCCGGCGGCACATTCGGGGTCTGCGCGACGCGGGGTGGGTGGAAGGAGGCCCGGTACGGCCCCTGCGTGCTCCGCCTTTCCCGGGGACGGGCCGGGCTAGGCCAGGCCTGTGTCTCCCTCGGTGTCCGCCAGGGCTGAGCAGGTAGTGATGACGGTACTAGTGCTGCTGGTGATGTTGGCGACAGCGGCTGAGCATCCAGTTGAGGGGCTCTTCCTCCCGGGTACCCCTGGGCCTGGCTTGACGTGCCGCGCAGGGCTTCAGAAAGGCTGGGAAGAGTTGTGACCACTCAACCCTCTCCGGCTCACCGCACCCTCCACTGCCTCCCACACGGTGTTTTCAGTATGTTTTCAAGCGGATGGGGGAATAAAGGAGGCAGCCCCGACTTCTGGTGCCCACAGCAATGAGCCATGTGGGAAGGGGTGGGGAACAGTAGTTGGAAAGTTAAATCTTGCTCAGCAGCTCTGGGCGCTGGCTACGTGTGACAGGTTCCAGTGCTTATGTGCATAGTTGGACCAAAGCCCTGGGTCCAGTAACGCGTCCCCTGCAGCAGCTCCCAACAGAGGCACAGGGAAATCCGTAAGGAGATGGTGAACAGGGAGTGGTGCTCCTTAAAGGGCTCTCTTCTGAAGTCCATCGAGCCTTTCCTGGGGCAAGGTGCACCGCGCAGCAGGGCAGTGGAAAAAATACCTGTCTTTAAAAGTCTCCAACCTGCCTCCTCCTAGTTCTGTTTGAAGCCTAACTGGTGTTTAAGGAGGCACTAGAGAGTTTCCCTCATAAGCCTTGCCATGTCCGAGTTTATAATCTTTTATCCTATCACCCCTCAACTATGTTCCCCAAACTGGAAGATTGCAAGCTGTTTAGTCTTGCCATATTTGAAAGCCGTTCTGTATCTGTAGGTCATCACCTTTCCCTGAATCTTTATAGGCTACCTTGTATCTTTTCTGAGATAAGGGGCTGGGAGGGCTGGATACAGTGCTGAGGCTGTAGGTTGTGTGGGTGTACTCTGAACCTCCTGTTGTGTGGTTTTAAAATACCCAGGCTGCTTACAATGGTTTTATTCTTTTGACTGGTCTTTTTAACTGAGGAATTGCTTTTCATTTGTGTTTTGTTCCTCTCCCTGAACTAAGCACAGTGATAGTGAGTTTCTTGTATTTGTCATCTGAATGCATGTGTTGAGTCCATACACCTTACAGTTGCTGTCAGAGAGCAGCTCTTCTGCAGTAACATTTCGTACCAGGCACTGAGTCAGGGTCAAGTCCTCTCTTCTCCTGTTACATGTTCCTTGACTTCCTAAAGTGGTCATTAACTCTGGCTAAAAGCCACAGATGTGGCATCATGCTTCTGTGTGACGTCTATCCTGTCCTGTCTACACAGGGAGAAGTGAAGTCTCCTTGCTTTTATTCTTGTTTTTCTGTTGGCCCTCACAATATTGCAGCATTGTCATCCTGTTTAGAAGCATAGTGGTTTCTAACACGTTATAACTTTTCTGTTTTGTGTGAAATTTCAAACCATAGAGATTCTCCACTATTTGCTGACATAGTTGTCTTTTTAATTTGTATCATGGAACTAGCTTCCCTTTTATAACACATTTAGGGAACTTCATTGCAGTTCTACCCCTTGTGTGCAGTCTTTTTGACCAAGAGCTTTTGGGTTGCTTGTGTTTCATGGTAGCTCTCAGCCACATTTTAAAAACGAGGTAAAGTCCGGTTGCAACGTGCTGTCAAATCAGTGGTTGGTTTTCTATTAAGAAGTAATTGTGAGATCACCTCAATCATTACGTGGGATTCTGCAGTTACCATAAAGTACCCATTTAACATCCTAAAAAGATACCTTCAATAATGTTAATACCAAAGTCCCTTGTAGGGCTTATAAATAATACATATTTCTACCAGTTTTCAAATGCCTGCTTAATTCTTCTTTTGATTCCAATTATTTAAAAAAATCACAAATGTGTTATTTTTTTTAAAAATTATAGATTATTATGCTTCTGAAGAAAAAACTTTCCAAATGTGACCCATATGGAGTTTTTGGGGGCGATTTTTTCTTATTTTTTTTTCTTGTAATGTAGGCATCCTAGGACAGCAGCTCAGAGGCATAATATGCCACATTGTCCAAAATGTTAAAACTGAACTTCATTAATTTTGGTTGTAATATGAACTATGATTGTACTATTAGATTTAGTAAAAATATCAAGGTAAAGTTTATTGGGCATTTTGTTAGATTCTAAAAAGAAGTTTATTAATTCCATTACAGTTTCTTTCTTTCAGAGGCTGCTAATCTTGGACTAAGGTTTTGAAACTCCTACCTATTAAACTGAAAATTGCCTTCACTTGAGCTCAAAAGTTAAGATAGAAAAGATAACATTCTTCTAAAATTAAAACTTCAACTGCACCTGAAATATTTAAAAAAATATTTTTGAGGGCTTTTATATGATAAAATTGACAGCCTCTTAGTCACATAGAATGGATACCAAACTTTTTGATGCATTTTCTTCAAGTGTGTTTTATACAAAATATTATTACTGAATAATAAAAATCTAAAAATGTAGTATTCATTATTTGAATTTCCTTGTTATTGATGGAGTAAATCTCACTGATGGGGAGGTGTTCTCACTTTTCCTTTGTTTAAGTTGATGTAAACTAAATACAGGCAATATAGAGGTGGGCAGATACAATCTGGGAAGATAATTGTATTTCATTACTTACAGAGGAAAATAAACAGAGTAATTACAAAGAATAGAAGCTGCTTCAGGTCTGAGCTACAATAGAGACTTTATAGCTGGGCTTTGCAGGAGGAGTCAAAGCAACATCTGGAAATTTCCTGTGCCTTTTAACTAGACAGCTTGAAGATTTTCAGTAAGGATCAGCAGAGCTTCTGTTGCATTAATGCTTCTCTATTCCTACGGTGAATTAAACATAGACTGAAAAGAAAAATGTTACTTGTAGCCCTCCTTTAATTTTTTAAGTATATATGGAAAAAAAAAAATTGTCCACATGTTCCCCTGTTGTGAAGTCTGGATAATTTGAACTATGGAGGAAGCCTAAGAAGTTAAGCTTGAGAAAAAAGAAATCTGACAGGGAAAAATTAGAAGATTATCTCTGAAAATGAACAGTTATGATGATGTAATAGAATAAGAATTTCAAGATGGGTCTTAGAACTAAATTCTGTGAGGAGCCTTTGTGAGTGAGTTTTAGGACTAAACAGCAAGTTCTCTCCAAGGAAACCTAGAGGAACTTTAATGGCATAGGATTTAGAGATGGTGACACTGTCTTCA